TCCAACTGTGGTATTGAGGTGAGACCTTTGAAAAGTGATGGTTTAGATAAGGTCATTAGGTTGGAGCCCCCGTTATTAAATCTGTGTGGCTTTATAAGAAGAGGGACAGAGTCCGGACATATCTAGACATGTATATTCCCTGTCTCTTGCCGTGTACTACCTTGGAACTCTGTCAGCCAGAAGGTCATTAGTGGAACTTAGCCAATGTCAGCACCATACTCTTGAACCTCCCCAACTGCAAATTAAATAAGCCTCTGTTCTTTATAACTTAGCTTGCCTCATGTAGTTCATTATAGTTTAAAAAAAAAAGTGACTAAAAAAAGGTGGTGAAGATGCACTCTGAGATGTGAGTGAGGAGATGTTTTAGTATTACATATTCTACTTTCTAACTCCTAATTTTTATTGCTTATATTATTCTTCCTAAGAGTTTCTTACTTTTAACTTTCCATCTGTAGCTACTCTTTCCTAGATGTTCAGTCAAAATCCCAATTTATATGAATTCATGGTTCATGAATTTATTTCCTCTTCAGGTTCTGTTTTCCCAAGTTCTTTATTTTGAATTATTCTTGATTGGTGGAATTTCATTGTCAAGGAATGATTTTCAAGAAAGGCTCATGAAAATTTTATCCCCTGAACTTTTTTGTTTTGAAATTGTCTCTCTTTTGCCTTTATCATTGGAAAAAAAAAATCCTGGGTACCTGATTTCTTTCTCTTGAACCATTGCAAAATTTATTAAATGTCTGCATAGCATTTCATGGAAAGAATGTCAATTCTATATTCACAGTCAATTATTCCCAATCTTCTGTTATTATAAAAAAGCATGCCATGATATTCTTCTGCACATTTTAAAAAAAACATTCATGTGACTTTTCCATTAGAGTAAATTTAAAGTAGATCTGTAGGTCAATGTAAATATGCACATTAAGATATTTAGAAACGTACTAAACTACTCTCAGAGATTATTTAATTTATGCTCCTTTCAGCCAGCAGTGCACAGAGGGACTTATTATTTCCATTGTTATTACCAGTGGGTTTTAGTAGTTCTCTGAATATATGTGAATTTGGTAGGCAAAAAATATTTTTCTTATCTTTTAAATTCTGTTCCTTAGTAAGATTTAAGATTTCGTACTTTGTAAACTGCCCTTTATCATTCTCTACTATTTTCCTAGGAGAGGTGTTGATAGTATTGTTGAAAGAACATTTTATATATGAAGAATATATATGTGCATGTGTATGAGGCGAGGAGGGAGAATAGTGCAAGTGTAATATAGTGCAAGTGGTGAATCTTGGTGAAAGGTATATATGAATTCCTTTGTTTCCTTATAGCTTCTCCATAGGTTTAAAATTAATTCAAAATAAAATGTTAAATGTTTCCTTTTTCCTCAAAAAAGTATAAAGTGAAATTTCTCAAATTTTTCGTATGTATTAAAAATATTTTACAGTTTGTCTTTCATTTTTTTCTTCTATTATACTTATGATAATCAACGAGTGCTAAATCTTTTGAGTAATAATTTTTATAAGAAACAAAAGATTTTCCCACTTTCAATTTTCCATACATTACAAAAGGAAAAGTAGTATAGTAGTGAAAGCTGGCAGACCTACTATAAACAAGGAATGAATATTAACATAAATAATGAGGCATTATTATCTTCCTGGTGTAAGTCACTAAAAAGGACATAATATCACTTATGTAATAGTCTTGCCAAACACATGTAATTTGAATGTAACCATGAGAAAATATGAGGCAAATTAAAGTTGAATAGAATTTTATAAAACATCTTTTTAAAAAAATCTAAAAACTCATGGCAACTGAATGAATTGTGTTATTATGGATTAGATTCTTTCTTAACATTATTAACACTATAGGCAGCATTATTGAGACAATAGGCAAAATTTGAATATGAAATGTAAGTTATAAAATAAAACTGTATCACACAATGGAATTTTACTCAGCCATAAAGAAGAATGAAATTATGGCATTTGCTGGCAAATATATGGAACTAGAGAATATCATGTTAAGTGAAATAAATCAGACCCCAAAACCCAAAGGTGAAATGTTCTCTCTGATATGTGGATGCTGACTCACAATAGGTGGTGGGAAGAAGGAGGGGAGGTTCATCCATGGGGTGAAATGCGGGGAAGGGAGGGAGGATGGAAATGGGAAAGACAGTAAAATGAATCAGACCAGTGAAACTTCACATGATGTTCAGCCATAAAAATGGAAAGTTATACTCTATGTATGTATGATATGTCAAAATACATTCTACTGTCATGTATAACTGAAAAGAACAAATTAAAAAAACTGTATAATGTTGACTGTCCTGATTTTTATAATTGAATTATGATTGTGAAAGTAATGTTTTTGTACTTGAAAACACACTTGAAACATCAGGGATAAAGGCAACATATTTTCAATGATTCAGAGAAGTACCATAGGAGAGTGTGTGGTGTGTGTTTATATATGTGCATGTGTATGAGGCGAGGAGGGAGAATAGTGTAAGTGTAATATAGTGCAAGTGGTGAATCTTGGTGAAAGGCATATATGAATTTCTTTGTTTTCTTATAGTTTCTCCATAGGTTTAAAATTAATTCAAAATAAATTGTTAAATGTTCCTTTTTCCTAAAAAAAAAGTGTAAAGTGAAATTTCTCAATCTTCTTTATCATTTCTGGTTTTCATGCCATGATTGAAAAAACCTTTATCTCAAGATCATAAGAATTTTTTTCTATGATTTCATTTTCACATTGATCTTTGATCTATCTGAAATTTGATGTTGAAGCAAGAAAATGAGCCAGGTTTTCTTACCTAAATGTCTAGCCAATTTTCCCCACAATATCTACCAAATAATCACCCTTTTCTTACTGGTGGTCAAAGTATATACATAATACGGATGCAAATTCCATATGTCATACATATATGTAATATTTATCTGCCTTGGATTTTCATTCCTTTGATGCATTCATTTGTGTATCTCAGTACTCATTACTCCTCCTGGTCATTCTTGCATATATTCTTCCAAATGTTAAATATTTCAGAGAATTGTTTCAAAACGTTTAAATGTGGGATGATTTGATTTGAGCAGCACACAAATCAATTAGAAAGGCTTTGCAATATTGAACTTTTCAATCAGCAATGTAGATCTTTCCATTTTTTAAAATCTCTTCTTAAATCCCTTCATGGAGGTTTTTTTTTTAATTTTTTTTTTTAGTTAAAAAAATGTCCCTAAGTATACATTTAAATTTTTCATACTTTTGTAATTTTGAATGGAACCCCTACCCCACCCATGATATCCATATAAATAGTTAGCTGGTTCTTATTTTTTAATAGCATCAGTTTTAACATTGAATTTTGACCAACCAATCTATTTAATTTTTTGATCATTTCTAATTGTCAGTTATTTATCTAGTTTGCTAGGTATAAAGTTATGGTATCAGCATATAAAGATGGTTTTGTCTTCTTTATAATATATATTGGCACATTACATTTTAGATTCTTTGAAAATTCTAACAATATATATTATAATCAGGCAGAAACCAACAAATTTATTTTCATTTTCCAAATTAAGAAAAAGGAGAGAACAGTTGTATTATATTTTAAGAGGTCTACAAAAATAAAGTGAGATGTTGAACTTTTTGTTGAGCATGACAAAATTATTCATCAACCAACAAACCAGCCATATAACTGTTCATCTGTCCATTCATCCATCCATCCATCCATCCACCAAACCTATTCAATAAATGATTACTGCTTGTCTCTTCTGTGCCATGGATCCTTGTGGATACAATAAGGAAAACATAATCTTTGCTTTTATAGAATTGGTTGGCAGGGAGAGTAGGAGAGAAAAGCACAAGTGCACAATTTTTTTTATTAGAGTATTATATTTATACATAGTAGTTGGGTTCATTTGGACAAAATCTCCATGCGTGGGATTTTATTAACTCTATTTCAGTCCCCATATTCCTCTTTCCCTCCTCTTCTCCTTTCTAGACTCTACTAATCTTCCTCTCGCCCATTTATTTATTTATTTTTGATTGGTGCGTTCTACATATACATAAAGGTGGAATCCCCTGTGGTGTATTTACATATGCACATATTGTGATTTTGTTGAATTCTGGATTTCCTTCCCTTTCCCGTCCCTCCTCCCTCTCTTTTGCCTTCTTCTACCCCACTGATCTTCCCTATATCTTTATGATTTCTGATCCCTTCCTCCATCACCACCTTCTTCCCCTTATTTTGTTAACTTCCAAATCTGAGGAAACATTTGACCCTTGACTTCCTGAGTCTGACTTATTTCACTTAGCAACATTATTCTGTGTTTCCATCCATTTACCCACAAGTGCCTTAATTTCATTCTTCTTTATGGCAGAGTAAAACCCCATTATGTATATAAACCACAATTTCTTTCTTCTTTCTCTCTTTTTTTTTTTTTTTTGAGGATTGAACTCAGGGGCACTTGACCACTGAGCCGCATCCCCAGCCCTGTTTTGGATTTTATTTAGAGACAGGGTCTTGCTGAGTTTACTTATTGCCTCACCATTGCTAAGGCTGGTTTTGATCTCATGATCCTCCTGAGTCACTGGGATTACAGGCATCCATCACTATGCCTGGCTAACACAATTTCTTAGTCCATTCATCTATTGATGGGTATCTGGGCTGAGTCCATAATTTGGCTGTTGTAAATTGTGCTAATATGAACACCGAAGTGGTTGTATCACTATAGCAAGCATGCGATTTTAATAGCATTTAAGGTAAAGAAAGCATTCAGTGTTTTGGAAACACATAAAAGGGGCACCTACCCAGTCTGAAGACTTGCTGAAGGAGGGTGGCATCTAAAGAGATTTCTGAAGGAAATACTTAAATGGAAGAAAGACAGACCACACTCTCAGTAAATGCATTGTGCTATGTTGTTGCTTTGAAATCTTGGGGTATGAGCTTGTCTAAGTGTTTAGCAGCCATTCTGAAATCTTCATGGCTCTTAAGATTTTCAATTTGCCTTTGCAGCTCAAGGGCCCAATGGCACTCTGGAGAACCCAGCCCTGGACACAAGTCTCCTGGAAGAGTTCTTGGGCAATGACTTTGATTTGGGGGCCTTGTAAGTAATGAGAAAACTGCTCTCCCTGTAATGTTTAAGAATTTATGAAATAATTAAATAAACTGGGAATGATCCCTCCTTTTCCATTTTTTTTTTCCCAAAAGAGCTTGGTAGGATCGGTATTACTTCTTCTAATTATTATACAATACCAACTTTCTATTATAATATCAATCTTCTTTGGCAGATTTCACCAGCGAGGCCTAGAGTTTTCTTTGTGGGAAGTTCCCCCTGTCCCCTTCAACCCCTGTCCTTGCAACTGATTTGATATCTTTGGGATATGGAACTCTTCAGGTTATTAATTGGTAGTTGTCAGCTTAGGCAGTTTGTGTCTGTCAATGAATTTGTCTGGTGCATATGTCCATTGGTACAAAGTTCTTCATATTTCCTTATTATATTTTATCTATCTATCTATCTATCTATCTATCTATCTATCTATCTATCTATGTATCTATTAGCACCGGGATTGAACTTAGGGGCACTCAACCACTGAGTCACATCCCCAGCCCTATTTTGTATTTTATTCAGAGACAGAGTCTCACTGAGTTGCTTAGTGCCTCACTGTTGCTAAGGCTGGCTTTGAACTCACGATCCTCCTGTCTCAGCCTCCCAAGTTGCAGGATTATAGGCATGCACCATCGTGCCTAGCCCTTATTATATTTTAATGTGGTGATGATTCTCTTGTTCTTAATATCAGTAGTTTGTATCTTTGTTTTTCTCTATCAATCTAGCAGGTGGTTTATCAATTTTCCTAGCTTTTTCACAGAACCAGATTAAATTTATATTCTTGATTGTTTTTCTGTTTTCTATTTCACTGGTTTCTGCTTTCATTCCCTTCCCTTCTTTTTTTTTTTTTTTTCCTTCCTTTTAAAATTTTTTCACAGGGTCTTGCTAAGTTGCCCAGGCTGGCCTCAAACTTGCAATCCTCCTGCCTCAACCTTCCAAGTTACCTGGATTGTCACTGCACCTGGCTACTGCCCTTATTTTCTGATGTAAATATGGATAGTCCATCTTTCTTTTCTTTTCTTTTTCATAGTTGTAGATGGACAGCTTGCTTTTATTTTATTTGTTTCATTTTTATGTGGTGCTAAGGATTGAAGCCAGTGCCTCAAGCATGGTAGGCAAGTGCTCTGCCACTGAGCTACAGCCTCAGCCCATACGTCTTTTTTATTCTTAATTTAGACACAGTTAAACTCAATTTTTTTGTATATAATTCTGTAAGTTTTTACAAATTCATAAAGTCATGTCACTACTCTCCCAATCAGGACACAGAACAGTCCCTTCACCTGCAAAATGTCTTTTCCATTTCCCCTTTGTTGTCAAACCTCCTACCCTAACCCCTGGTAACCTCTGAATTGTTCTCTGTCCGTATAGTTCTGCTTTTCTCCAGGATGTCACATAAATGAAACACAAAGTATATAACCTTTTGGATCTTCCGTTTCTCATCGAACAGATTGTCTTTTTATCAATAGTTCATTCCTGTTTATTGCTGGGAGAGAATTTGCTTATCCATTTACCCACTGAAGGACATTTTGATTATTTCCACTTTATGGCAATGATGAATAATGTTTCTATAAACATTCATGTACAGATTTTTGTGTCATCAAAAGTTGAAATTTCTCAGGGCTGGGGATATAGCTCAGTTGGTTGAGTGCTTGCCTCACATGTAGAAGGCCCTGGGTTTGATCCCCAAAACAAACAAACAAAAGTTTAAATTTCTCTAGAGTAAGTACTTAGAATAAGGACTGCTAAGTCATAATGGATGATCCAGTATATGATCATTCACATGTTAAACTGTAAAACTTGCCACCTTTTTCAGAGTGACCATACTGCTTTATTACCATTAGTCATGATGAGGTATCTAGCTGCTTCTTTCCATTATTCGTTCTTCATATTGTCAATTCAAAAAATTTTAACATAGCCATCCACACAGGTTTGTAGTGGCATCTCGTGTTTTAATTTCATTTCATGTGCTTATTTGCCATTCAAACATTTTCTTTGGTTAAGTTTCTGTTCGAATCTCTTGCGCATTAAAAAAAAAGTGAGGGTTACTTTCTTATCTTATTGTTGAGAAAATTTAAGGTTTATTCTGTATATAAGAATTTTATTAGATATGTTATTAGTGAGTACTTTTTGCTGGTCTGTAGCTTATGTTCTCATTCTCTTAACAGTAACCTTTTTTTCAGAGCAAAAGTTAATTTAATTTAATTTTAATGTCCAGTTTATAGAATTTTTCTTATATGATTTCTGCTTTATATCTAAGAAATATAGAGTTTGCCTGATCCAAGTCCTCCAATTTTTTTTCTATGAGTTTTAGAGGTTTACATTTTACATTTTTGTCTGTGATTCATTTTGAATTAGTTTTTGTTTAAATAAATAAATACACACATATAATGTGTATACATGCAATGTTTTATGTATATGTAATGTATTTTATATATACACAGGATGTTATATGTATCTCACTACATTTTCCTTGTCCATTCATCCACTGGACACTGAGGTTGACTATTTGGTTCCATCATCTTGGCTATTGTGGAGAGTGCTGCCATAAATATAAGAGTACAGATCTTTTCAAACTACTGATTTCATCTCCTTTGGTTATGTACCCAATGGTGGGACTGCTGGATCATATGATAGTCCTTTTTCTAGTTTTTGAGGAATTTGCATACTGTTTTCCATAATGGCTGTAGTTACTTTGGAACCATAGTGTTTGAATTCTCCTTTCTCTACCTATTTGCTACCATTTTTGTTGTTGTTGTTTGTTTGTTTGTTTGTTTTATAATAGTTATTTTAACTAGGGTGGGATGGTAGATCATTGTGATTTCATCTGCATTTCCTTGATGATTAGCAGTGTTGAGATTTTTTTCATCTATTTGGCTATTCATAGATCAATTTTATTGCTCTTTTGAAATAACCAGCTTTTGGTTTCATTGATTTTGGTCTGTTGGGCTTGTTTTCAGTTTCACTAACTTCCATTCTTATTCTCATTCTTCTGTTTGCTTCGAGTTTAGTTTGCTTTTTTTTTTTTTTTTAGTTTCTTGAGGTGGAAACATAGTTCTTAATAGGAGACCATTCTTTGTTTGCTAATTTAAGCCGTTGACACTATACATTTTTCTTTCTGTTTGGTTTAGCTGCATATCTGTGTTTTGATATGAGCGTACTGCAGCTACATACATTTAAAAGTTTTAGACAGTGTTAAAATTTTTGCTTTTACTTTCATACATGTTGAAGAACTTTAAGAAGAAGAAAAATCGTTCATTATCGTGACCTAAGCATTTGTCATTTTTGTTGGTCCTCTTCATTTGGGAAGCTCTATTATTGTTTCTGGTGTTGTCTTTCACTGTAAGAGCCCCTTAGCCTTTCTTTTATTTATAGCAGATCTGTTGGCGATGGGTTCTTTTAGTCTTCCTCCACTGAAAATGTATTTATTTTACTGTCATTCTTAAAGTAGATTTTTTTAAAAAAAACTTTTAGTTGTATATGGGCACAATACCTTTATTTTATTTATTTACTTTTATGTGGTGCTGAGGATTGAACCCAGTGCCTCACATGTGCTAGGTGAGTACTCTACCCCTGAGCCAGGACCCCAGTCCCTTAAAGTATTTTTTTTTCCAGATGTAGAAATCTTGATCAAAAGGAGTTTTTTTTTTCTTTTCAGCACTCCTAAAAGGTTGACCCACTATCTTCAGGTCTCCATGATTTCTGATGAGAAACAGACAATTATTTGAATTATTGTTCCCTGTACATAATGTCCCCCCGCCCTCTGCTGGTAGAATTTTCTTTACTTGGATTGTAATGTGTCTGAGTATAAGCATGGTTTTCTTTGAGAGTGTACTGTTTGAGACTTGCTCAACTTTTGAAACTGTAAACTTGTACTTTTCATTATATCTGGAAAGTTTTCAGCTGTTATTTCCTCATATTTGTTTTTCTGTACCAATGTCTTTCTTTTCTCCCTCTAGGATTCCAACAATCCAAATGTTAGACCTTTTGATATTGTATACAGTTTTCTGAGGTTCATTTCATATTTTCAATTTTCTCCTCTCTTTTGTTCATATTGGATAATTTCAACTGATCTGTCTTTAAAAGTTTACTGGCCCTCCTCTGACATTGTCATCTCTGTTCTGTCACTGAGCCCACTTTGACATGACTATAAATGTCCCTGCCAAGACAGAGAGCAAAATCAGGCCAGAATCTCAATAGTCAAGGGGAAACCTATTTGTGGATATTTCTAGTACCTGGCTCTTACTACTCTTTGCCAATGGAAACATCCTTGCCAACAGACTCTGGGAAGAAGAGCGCCTCAACATTTTGTAAGCAGGTGAGTTAAACATATACACATCCCTACAGAGCTAGTGTGTTGCCAAGCGTCTGAGCCCATATACTCTGAGCCAGCTCTTTGGCTCCAGGAACACCAATTGCCCCTACACTTACCCTCACATGGCTCACTCTATCCAAGCAGCTGGTGTGAATTCAGGTGATCAGTATTGTATTCTTAGTGTCCATAGTGATAACAGTCCTTCCTGCAGGACTGCAGATATCCACTTACAGGCTTCCCTGTTGCAAATGAGTTCCACACTTAGTTTGCCCCAAAATATTTCCTCCTTATCTTTGGGAGTGGTTTGAGGGGGCAGGTTGTAGATGATGTAGAGAAGGAAGTTAATATTGTTGGGTATTTACTAAGTGTTGGGCCTTGTTCTTTGCACTTTATACAGTCATTTATTTAACCCATATTTGATGTTACATATTTCCTTCTCTTAACAAAGCAGTCAAATAGATAGTATGTTTATAATATTAAATTTATTGTGTATATTTTACAGAGGAGGAGACTGAGAGGTTAAGTGAGACTCCCTAGATCAATAAGTAGCAAAACTGGGATTAAAAACCTGCCTGGCTCCAGAAAACATGTCCTTTCTCCTATATATAGCTTGTAGATTAATGAAAATTTTAGGGAATGTTTTGAAGAAATCTGAACCTCAGGGAAATATATTTTATTTTATTTT